AAATTTCATCATTTGAATGATTCTCTGGTTAATGTTTTCAGATATATTCATTTTTCTTTGTGTCAGCTACTTATGGCCCCTCCTTCCTGTAGCCAGGAGAGATTTCAGCTCCAGTAGCCACCTGCAGTCTATCCCCTTTTTGTCTGCGTCTGAACTGCTGATTATATCTGGAACCACACACCTGTACAGGCTAGTGACACAGTGATCTCCAGCCCCCAAGGGTCCCTTATTAGTGCCTACTAGAATGTCAGGTTTCCTGATGTATCCTTGTCTCTGCTCCTCCAGACTTCTGGGTTTTCTGCTTCCCCTTGATGCACTCAGCAGAGAGCATCTCTTTCTCTGTCACAGGCGAAAATAGAAGTCATTTGGCAGGAGTGTCCTCACCTTTTTGGCAGGAAGAAATTCTGAGATCCATCCCTCCCGCTCAAGTTTCCCTATTGAACTTCAGATCCACAGAGCCCATTCTCTATTGGACTTCTCTTCTTAGATGACCTACAGGCATCTCCAAATCCACAGGTCCACATCAGGACTTACCTTCTTCCTGCACAAAACGTTATTCATTCTATAATCCTTAGTTCATGGAATAGCTTGTGGATTTCAATTCCCCAAGTTCCCAACACAGCAACTTGAGTGCCGTCTTTGCTTTCTTTCTGCCCCTCACACAATCAACCATAAAGTCTCATCAATTCTCTCTAATAAATATCCCTCCAATCAGTCTCCTTTCCTCTGTGTCCTCCCTCAGTTCCTAGCTAAGGCTGAAACTCCTGGTCATTCTGTTTTTCTTCATTTCACCAAACACTCCATACCCCATCCATCCTCCACGCTCAGCCAGGGTGAGCTTTCTAATGAGATCTATCAAAACACACTCCCTGTGTATAAGATTCACTGCAGCTCACCACTCTTTGAATAAACTCTGAGATCCTTAACATGGTTTACAAGGCGTAGTCTTGTTCATGTTTTTCTCTTTAGCTCCACAGATGACCAAAGTTTCCTCAAACATCAGTTATCCAGAACACAGGACCTTCTTCTAGCTCCATGGACACATTGCATTTCCTCTCCTTTTCTGCTGATACAACTCCCCGGTGTCTCCTCTTCACTGTACAGGATTTTGCATTTGAGGACAGCTATTTTAGGAGACCAAACTTGATTCTTCTAGTCTGGGGTTGATTCCTGCCCTCCCTTGGCATCCTGTACCCCACTAATCAGGGCTGCTGGCACATCCATGTTCAGTTTTCTGCCTTGTCCAACAAATTTAAGATTCTATGAAGGCAAATTCCACCTCCACTTTCTTTACCTCGACATCCACAGAGCCAGTCAGGGCCTGCACTTGGATGGTTGGAAATTTGCGTGGACTGAAGGAAAGAGTCAGTAGGTGTCTTTTATTGGTGTCAGTGCCTCTCACCAAGTGGTCTTCACTTCTGGTTAGTGAGGGAGGTAATAAGTCAGGACAGGGGCTGGCTTGTCCCTGCAGCTAGTGTCAGGAAGCCATTTAAGGGTAATAGTTAGTGACTAGCAGGTGGATGGACCCTCAGCCCCCAGGGGAGGGAGAAGAGTGAACTCAGCCCCACCCTCACAGGTCTAGGGCCCAGGTGCTCCCTTAAGGGAGGAACTCAGTTTTCAGCCAGCAATTTCCAGACCTAAGTCACAGAAGAGAATGGGCCCTGGGCTGTGGTAAGGCTCCTTAGACACCTGGACTGAGGCCAGGAAGGAATGGGGGCAGGAGCTGGGCAGGTCAGAGCCTTGTCCCGTGCAGTGCCATCCAGCCCCAGCTGAGGGACGGGAAGCCATGCCAGCATGGATGAGGAGTTAGTTCACATGGAAAAGATCATCTCAGGAGTTTTTAAATTGCTGTCCAGGGAACGTTCAGACTCAGGAGCAAACATTTCAGTGGCTTCCTGACTTCTTACACACGGATGCACACAGACATGCACACGCTGTCATGCACACCCTATCGTGGTTTCCACTGTACAGGTGAGAAAGCTGAGAGTCAATGAGAAAAAGACCCTCTTTAAGGGGAAAAGTAGCCTTTACAGTTCATGTGGCACTTCTAACAGGTCATTCCTGGACCTCCTGCAGACAGTGTCTCCCCATCTTCAGCCTTCCCCAGTGATCAGCTCTGCTCTCATTCGTACCCCCCAGTGCTGGTCTCAAGTTCATGCTGGTCTCAACCCTTCTCTCCTCTGTAGCTCTAGCCCCTTGACTTCCTGTCCTTCTGATCAGCAGTTGGCCTTCTTGAAACCCACAAGAGCACTGGTAAGAATGGAGACATATTCCACAAGGCAGGGCATTCCACAGCTGACTGTAAAGGTTGGAACCACTAAGAATTTCCGGAGCTGAACCTGCAAGGCACTGATCACTGAGCCTGGCTGACCTGCCGTGACACCCTGGTCCACTTTCTGTCCCATTTTGTGACTTCTCCTGCCCCAACCTCTGGCAAATGTCACTACTCAGGTGACTTTGCCTTCTACACTAGCAATCTTCAGAGTCATCGGAGGAGAGGAGGTACCTCCTGATCCTACCAAGAAACACACACCCTCACCAGCCCCTTCACCCCCCTCCCTGCATTCCCCTCACAGTGGAAGCCTTGATCCTTGATCCTTGCCCTCCACTGTGCCCTCTTTCGTGATGCTTCGTGCTGCCTGGCTGGCTGCTCACTCTGCAGCTCCGGGTTGAAGGCGGTGTCAAACCACCTGTGATTTGTGACCTTAGGAATTGTGCCACTCTGCAACCCTGGTTCCTTGCCACCTGGCCTCCTGAATCCTTTCTATGGGTATGAAAGCTTGATCAAGGCTCTGACATCTGTCAAGCACTGCAGCGAACTTCAGCTTAGCACCCACTACCCACCACCCTCTCTCTCCCCTCCCCTAAAGGTCAGTCTCTAAATACGCATTTGCAGGCTGTCTGGCCTTCCCTCTCCTCCTCTCCTGCTCACTCTCCAGCCCCCTCCGGTTCTCCCTTAATTCTGCTAACATGGCACTTGTGAGCCCCAGGTGGCTTTAGATCACTAAATCCTGTGGACACATTCGTTCCATTCATTCATCACTTTTTTTCTACGTTATCTCCCCTATCCCTTGGATAAGCCTCTCCTCTTCGTCCTGCGGCGACAGGTTTCTTCTCGTCCTCTTGTCTCCTGCTCTACACTGGTGACTCTCATTGGTGGGCTGCCCTTTCTTAGCTGGTCCTTCAGTGGGGATGGGGGAGGTTCCCCTTTTCTTTTAACTCCAAGGCATTCATTTGAAGGGACACCTCAATACTCACTTGCCCATCCCAGGGGAGGAATCCTGAATGCTTTCCTCCAGCCCAGATTTCTCTCCTGACTTCAGCCCAGCTGCTTCCTGAGCAAGTCCCTGGGGATTCTCCCAGGAACCTCAGACATGGGAGTTCCAAATCTGAATGCGTCAACTTCCCTTGCCGGCAAGGCCCTGCTGGGTTTCCTATTCAGAGAATTGGTAGTCATCACCCAGGTGCCCAAAGCCAAATACAGTTCTCCTCCCTTCCTCCCCACCGCCGATCATAAATTCACACCCACTCTTCTCAAAGCCTTCGAACAGAATCATCCCTGCTCGCCCTCCCCAGCTCTGACCTACCTTTGCCCCAGTTCCCACAGAGGCCCCTTGATGTCCAGCCCACATCCTTGTCCTGGGGCACGAATCCCTTTTCTACTCAGCAGCCAGAGTGCTTTCCTAGTGTGCAGCACCGCTTCCATCGCCTCTGTGCTGAAACTCCCTTAGAGCTCCCTGTGGCTCTAAGGAGCCACTTGGGAATCCTTGCAGTGGCCTGTCCCTCTGCAGTCCAGTGGCTCTGTCATGGCGCGTTCCTCTCTGCAGCCCCTCAGCCTCACTGCTCTCTGCCCCAGAGCCGCCCAACTTCTTTTGGTTCCTTGACTGCTACCATTGCTCTTTCTCCTGTCTGAAGCACTGTCCTGTCTGTTCGCTTGACCACCTTCTCTTCCCCTGATCTCAGCACAGAAGTCACCTCCTCCAAGAAGCCTTCCGTGACTTCCCAGACTGAGTTTGGTGCTCTCCCTCAGCTTCCACAGACTTGTTCTACCATCTACTTGCCGTAAGGTTCTACATTCCATGAAGGCAATTCCTGTGGAAATCACTTTGTGGTTAAGAGTGTGCCTTTTAACCACAAAGTGTCAGGAGGGTTGGAATAACGTTCTACTGGCAATGATTACTAGCTATGTGGACTTGGGAAAATTACTAAGCCTCTCTGTGCCTGAGTTTCCTCATCCATAGAATGGGACTACTGACAGGATTTGTCTCATCAGGTCATCGGGAGGATTCAATAGGTTATTTCAGGGAGAGGTCTTAGCAGATTGACTGGCATAAAATCCTCAGGTATTCAGTTGTTGTCAACGTTATCATTATTGCCTTTGTAACAGAGATTGCAAGGTACCTGAGAGCCTCAGTTAAATGCCTGACTACACGATTGCTCTTACTGCAGTTGTGCTGTAATGGCTCATTTGTCCTCAGCCCTGCATTCCGGTTGTTGAGGGAGGTCATTCACAGAGTGAGGGCTAGGAACTGGAGAGGCAGTTGAGGGGCTCAGACTGGAAACCTAGAAAGTAGCTATTCCCCATAAATTGGGGGTGCTAAATAGCAGAAGGGGGGCATCCCATGATAAAGCCCTGCCCAGCTGCAGGAGCGAGGGGCCTGGGGGCTGTCCAGATGTGGTCAGGGCCAGGAGCTCTGGCAAGAGCCAGGTGGAGACTGGGCACTGGAGGTGGGGAGCAGGGAACTGAAATTGAGCACCCCAAAGCCCAGCAGGCAGAAATTGCCCTTAGAGCAGCAGGGTCCCTCCCAGCCAGGGCCTGAGGTCCATGTGAGCGTGGCCACAAGCTTGGGTGGACCTGGGCAGGCTGCTGCAGCTGAAGGCGAGGAGCCCCAATCCCGGGGTGGAGCTGAGCCTGCGTGGGAGGTCAAAGGGTTTGGCTTTGAGACACAAGCAGCCTCAGCAGCACAGAGTCCGGCAGTCAGCATGGAAAGGAATAAGCAGCGTGTCCAAGGAAATTGTTTATTGTTGTCAGGAGGCCCAGGACCTTCCCAAACAAAGAGTCCATGGGTCCCTGTGCATGTGGGAGCTCCACAGGCAGTCACTGTCACCTTCCAAGGGTTAGCACACAGGGCCAGACATGCCCTGGCCGCTCGGTGCATGGGGTCAGGCTGTGCCCAGAGACCCAAGCATCCAGCTTTCATTCCTGGCTCCTTAATGGGAGCCCCACTGCTCAATGGCAAGCTCTAGGCTTTTTTGGGATTGGTGACTTTGCTCATGAAGAGGATGCTCGGGGTGTCGGTTCGGGCGACGATCACCAGGAATGGCATGTTGAAACGCACAGTGGTCTTCGGGCCCACCTTTGCGGATAAGGGGATGATTTTGACTCCTGTGGCAGCAGATGCTTCTGTGCCCTCCTCAGACACATCAAGCACAGCCTTGTGGACCACCTGTGGGGACAGAAGCATTACTCAGGGTAGACACAGAAGGGCAGGGGGTCAGCAACTTGCCTGTGTGCCGCTAGGGGACCGAAAGTGCATTGAGCACTCGGCGCTGGCCTGTCTCTGTGCTGTGGAACGTCTGCTCCTCCCAACTCCCCTGCCAACTAGATTTGCACAGCCCTGATGCCTAGAGGTGCAAATGGAGACCCAGGTGCGGTGTGTGATCTGCCCAGAGCCTTCAAGGTAAAGAATGGAGCACCTCATTTGCACCCCTTTCTGTCTGAGTTGAGAGTCTGTGTTGCCCCCAAAACACCCACTACTGTTGGGAGGAAGAGCAGGAGCAATGTGAGGCATGTTTCTTCCAAGCAGGGTCCCGGCAGCCCTTGACCACCAACAGCTGCTGCAGAAACCGCCTCGCCAGCCCAGCATGGCTTTCAGCATCTCTCCTGCTGCAGCTTAAACATCCTTGGGGCTTTCAAGTACTTTTCACGGTCTTGCATTCCCGGATCGTACGGGTCTGCTGCTCGACACTCATCCCTCCGTTACTTTGCACCTTGGAAGGTGGAGATGCAGACTCAACCCGGTGCTCTGTGCGAGCACTCAGGCCAGACAGGAGCAGAGGGCTGCATGGCCACCTGCCTTGGCACCTCTGCTCTTAGTAACACAGGCTGTGTCCCAAGTAGTCCTCTCTCGTGCTCTGAGCATGTTTTCATCACAATTGCCAGATCGTCATTGCTATTCCCTGCTGGTATTACCTCCCCAGCCGGGCACTGCATACCAGCCAAGAACGATCACCACCATTTTACAGATGAAAAATCTGTGGACAGAGGACTTTAACTGTTTGCCCCCATGGGTAGTAAATGGTGCAGTGTGGAATGATGTCCGTGGCTGTCTGATTCCAAGCCTGTCAACATGTCTATTCCACCTGAATAATCTACACAACTACATCTTTCCGTCTGAGAAATACACACAATCATGTTGCCGAGGGCCAGTCCTCAGCACGGCAGGAGGAGCTGGGCTGTAGCCGAGCTCTTCTTGACTTGGGGTGTCCCAAGCAGGGTGAGTGCATGATGAGAAGTGCACCTGCACTGACACAAGTTCAAGAGTGCCCAAACGTGCAGCTGGCCTTCACCATTCGAGTTCGGATACGGAGATGAATTGACCAAAGTCTGAAGACTCACCTGGGAGACCTGTAGGTTTCTGGCCCCTGTGATCCCTGACAGGTCAGCCTTGCTGGTGAAGACCTCCTCGATGCCCAGCTGGGGAAGTATGTGTTCCAGGTTATAGTCCCCCGAGATGGAAAACTTTGGCAGAAAGAGCTCATCTATCCATCTAGAAAATGAGAAAACAAAATATCCACAGCTCTGCTGATTAGTGTCCACCTGCCTCCCACCTTGCTGCACGGTTTTCCCTGGTTTCCTCTACAATCACCCCCTTCTGATTAGAAATAAATACTCTGTTCCTCAATTTCCTAACCCCTGTCTTTACTCTTCTTATTCATTAGTTATTCAAGTGTGAAAGGCTCCAGGCAGCACACCAAGCCTTGAACTGTGACCCTGCCCGGGCCTGGCCCTGCTCTTTCGCTGCAGCTTGCAATGCCGCTAGAGCACTTTTGCACCAGCAGGGACCCCTGAGTGTATCCAGAGCCTGGGCCAGGCCAGCTGCACTGGCTGCACGGCAGCCTGCTTCACAGGTACCAGGAGGGCTTCCTGTAAGATGTGGTGTTGAGGCTGAGTCCCAAAGGCAGGAAAGGAGCAAGCTAGGTGAAGAGGTAGGCAGGAGGCAGATGGAAGAACATGGAAGAAGGTGGGAGCAGGAGGAGTTGCTCCACAGGGTGGAGGGTGACCTCAGTGTGGCAGAGAGGAGGGTAGTGGGGAATGAGGTGGGCCAGGAGCCAGAGGCCGGTCAGAAAGGGCCTGGGGGCCTCTGAGGAGTCTGATTATATTGGAAGAGCTTTGGGGATCCTGAAACAATCAAATGGGATTCGTATCTTGCCTCCACAGTGAGCACTGTCCTCTGAGCCAGGTGCAAGCTGGCATAGAACATGCAGCAAGCTCTTAGAGGCCCAGGTTATACCTCTCAGCAAGCTCTTAGTGGCCCAGATCCCCCTCCCTTGGTTTATAGCTCCCCCAAGCTGTCTGTCCCTGTCTGCCTGGTCTTATCATTATACAGGAGGCTGTCTTCCACTAAACTCTGAGTCCCATGGAGGAGGAAGGTGTTCTATTTCTATTTTTATTCATTCAGTCATGTGTTTGTCTGTTCATTTCATCCTTCATTCAACAACTACCTACTGAGCATCCTCTGTGGGCCAGGAGTGTGTGGACACATATTTCCTCAGCATTTTGTGAATCAAAAGTGTTTGGTGAATTCTTTTCATTCAAAACTATTTGCTGAGCTCCTGCTCCCTGGTGGCTATTTGGTGCTAAAGCAGGAAGGAGTCTATGAGTGGATGGATGGGCAGAGTAGGGCCCCACATCCTGGCATCTCCTGGGATCTAGAGTGAGGAAGGGCGGAGCGTCAGGCAGGCCCCAGAGGCGTCCAGCCCTCTGGACAGTGGCTGGGGCAGGAGCTGCAGCCTCAGGTTAGTGTTGAAGCAGCTGCCTCGCCCTTGGTGGTTTATTATGGCTTCCACATACAACACCTCACCGGATTCTCATAACCACCCCATGAGAACAGGGTGGCGGGGAAACGACCCTCCTCTCTATTCAGCAGGTAGCTGAGCTCCAGAGAAGAGCAGCGGCCTGCTCCACGTCACACCAGCCACCACGGTCTGAACCCAAGGCTGGTGCTCCTCCCTGCCCACCCCGCACAGCTGCCCACACGCGCTCCCTGGGCCCACGGCAGAGTGGACGTAACTACGACAGGGTGGCCCGGAACTACTGCTCTGCCTCACTGTGTCCCCCTGAAATCGGTCAGCTCAATTCCATGCGCCCGGCCTGTTCCTCCACCCTCAGATTTATCCAGAACTCAGCCACTGCTCACACGCACGGCTCCCTCCTGGGTCCCAGCCGCCATGGGCTCCCACCTCTTGTCTGTGCCTGGTTCCTGGGGTGTCCCCGACTCCACACCCACGCCAGCATCTAGTCTCTCAGCAGCCACGGTTAGTCTTTTAAAACAACGCTCAGATCGCACCCCTCCTCTAAGCCTCCTGATGGCTCTCCACTTCAGAGAGGAGTAAGGGCAAGGTTTTCCAGGGCTCTACGTGTTCCCACACAAGCTGCTCCACCCCTCTGGGGGCTCCTGACCTCTCTCAGCTCTCTCGTCACTCCCTCTGCTCCAGCCACTCTGGCCTCGCTCTTCCTTGAACATATCAAGCTCAGTTCTGCCTAGAGGGTTTGCATTGGCGGTTCCCTCTGCCAGGAATGCTTTTCCCTAACATACCAACATGACTCCACCCCTCCCCTCCATTACATGGATACTCAAGCATCACCTAATGGCCATTCTATTTAAAATCACAAATGAACACAAGGTCCAGTTTTCCTGCTTCTTTCATTCCGCTCTACTCAATTTCTATCCTCCTACTGAATTTTCTACCTTCTAACAGATCAAAGAACTTATTTGTTATATTTATTGCCTCTCCTCTCTCCAATTGCAAAGTAAGCTCCAGGAGGGCAGGGAATCTTGTGTTTTATTTGCTGATTTACTGTTAGGGGGCAAATTAGTGTCTGACACATAGTAGGTGCTCAACTAATCATGTAGCAAATGCTGAGTGAATGAATACATATATTGGATTAGCAGTGCAGAGCTGATCCTCAGAGCCCATCTCACTGCAGCCCTCAAATGATCACAACTCCTTCAGTTTCTCTGTTCCTTCCAGAGACTGAGACCAGGAGAAACCATGCATGAGTGTTTGGGTGTGTGGAGAAGATTCCTCACGACTTAGAACAGGCTGGAGTCAGAGGAAGCCTCAGCCCCTTGTTCTGTGTGATGTCATCATCTTAAAGGAGGAAAAAAGAAATCAGGCTCATAGTCATGCAGGCAGCACAGAGAAAAGTAAGTGAGAATTCCACCTGTCCCTGTGGGAGTTCTCCCATCACCATGCCCTTGTCCCTGGACGCTGGTGAGACCTTGAGGTGGAGAGATGTGGCGTCTCAGGGGGACAGGAAGAATCACCTGGTCTCCAGTGAGTCCCTCCACCGCTTCAGGGTCTCTGGGAGCAGCATGGCTTCCACTTCCTCCATCTTGTCTCGATCGGGGAGGATGAAGAGTGCGCTGGCATTGCCTTCGTACCGCAGCTCCAGCACGGTGCAGGACAGCTCCTCGTCCCGGAGGTAAGGTGCGGTCAGGTCCTCCAAGCTCATCATGAGCACCTTCACCCACCTCCTCTTGCTAAAGTAGAACCTTGACTCAAAAGTATCACGGGGGTCAAAGGGAGTCTTCCACTTGGCTGAAGGTGGAGCAAGCATTTGAAGAATGTGTTAGTGCCAGGGTCATTCTGCCTTGACCCTGCTTCTCCAGCAGCGGAAGTGCCTAGGCCAACAGACACTGAGAGGCCCTCATAGGAGTGGCCCTGCCTTCATGTAGAGAAATAGCTTGGCAAATAAAAAATTTATTGGTGGTGAGGGAGAGCCCAGCAGTCTTAGACTCGGGAAAGGGCCATGAAAGAAAGAACTGGTTCTTTATGCTGAACGAGAAATCAATAGGAAGCTGGGAATAAGGAGTGCAAGGGAGAGAGAAGGTTTAGGGAAAGTGAGGGAAAGAGGCATGACAACACGTGGGAGGCTGTAGCCCGAGGAGAAATGGCTCAGCCTTGGTTCCTTAAGAGGAAAAACCTCCTGTGAGCAATTGAGAGTCTCTGGTATTACAGGGATGTGAACATGCAGCAATGGCTTGTGGGAGGGCTTTGGGTGGAAAGAGGAGGAAAGAGACCAGGTTCTGTATGTGAGGTGGTGAGGGCAGACAGAGGAGATGCCCATCAATGTGAGTGACGGGAGGAACAGGGAGACTTTAGTGGAAGACAGAACTCAGAGCCAGGAGAGACCATGGGAATAAAAGCCTAGGGGCACTTGTGACATCTTAGGTGGTGGGAGTGTTGGACATTGCAAAAGCCATAAACTGGCTATGCTCCTCAGCTCATATCTAGCTCATGTCCACCTTTACAAACCATGAACATCCAGCTAAGACTTGCCCTGGATTCTGTGTCTGTCTAGCTGAGGAGTCAGTTGTGGGGCTCTGAGTCTGAGGCTGTCTAAACTCTAATGTTGCAAAGGTAAAATTCCACGAAACTACCTCTGGCACCTCTAGCTATTGCAAACATGAAATGCAGGCTGACTCCTAGCCAGAGTGACATAGTTCTTCTCACTAAAGGCCTATTTACCACAGTAAAGAGAAACAGAACATCTTGAAAGAAGTAGAGCTAGGGGCAGAGGGTGGAAAACTCCACCTTATCTAAAAAGAAATAAGGATAAACATGACAGCATACTTCTCACCAGAAACTATGCAAGCAAGAGAAGAATGGAGTAAAATCTTTAAAATGTAGAAAATTCCATGAAACTCATTCTTTGGGAATCATGACATGGCCCATGATTTGCATGCGTTTAGTTGGGTACAATTATTTTCCTCCTCTAAAACAGGGGTCAGGAAACTGTAAGCCTGTAAGCTAATACAACCGTAGCCTATTTCTATATTAACCTAGTGCTAAGTAAGGTGCTTATATTTCTCAAATATTGTAAAACAATGAAGAGGAAAGAGAAGAAGATAAAAAAGCAGAGGAGAAAGACAAAACGAAGGATCTTCAGAAGAGACCTCCTGTGGACCACACAGCCTAAAATACTTACTACTGGGTCCTTTATAGAAACAGTTTGTCAATCCTTTTTCTGGGTTTTGGACTCCACAATCTTTCACCTCTGTTCTTGGTTTTGTGAGATGCTTGGTGAAAGCTCATAAAGTCATAGGTTAACTTTAGGGGTTAACATGAGGAAGAAAAAGGAATTTTCAGATGGGCCCAGGTCAACGCTGAATGTTTAATTATTTGCTTTTCTGGACTTCATGTCTCCTAACTGACAAATGGCAACACCACCGTCCACCTTTCAGAGCTGCCGGGAAGATTAAACAAGGTATTGCATGTAAGTGGGCGGTTTGAGTTGGTGTTCAATAAATGGGAGCTTCTTTCCTTCCTTTCTTTCTTTGCTTTTTCTTTTGGTAATTGCAACAAGAGCCAGCTTCTGGGTGGCCCTACCTTCTCTCGTGCCATCGTTTTCCTTCTAGACTCTTCTCCACCTTTGAACTTTCTCTTTGGGATTTCTAGGACCAAAATCACAGCCCATCTTTCCTTCCCCCTCCTGGCAGAAAATCTCAGGTTCTCTGGTTCCTGCAGCCTCCCAACATGGAAAGACCCAGGACAAACCTAATTGTAAAGACGCCTCAGAGTCAGGACCCATCTCAGGGTAGGAGATATTTCAGTTGAACAGGTGTCCCCGTCACCAACTGCAGCAGCAATTCGGGTGCTTCTGTGGCCTCCATGAGGGCAGTGCCACGGATTACCTCCCCATATTATCCAGGGCACCAGGCTCCTTTGGGGCCTTTAGCTGGCCAGATCTCCAGCATGCGTTCCTGCTAGGAAGACCGACTGCCTCTGGGGACCCCGGCTGCTGCCTTGTTTGCCAGAATCAAGAGAGGGACAGGTCTGAGGGATGAAATCACCACCCAGCCTCTACAAGCCTTTAAATGTTGTCACGTCTGGCCCCATCTTCCCCCATTTCTCTCTGCCAGTCACCAAGTTTTCCAATTCTGCCTCCTTACCATCTTCTGACATCCTCAGCTGTTCACCTGGGGGCCTGAATGTCTGGCTAGACTAGTGTCTTTAGGATCTGATCTATGTTTGACTCAACTTCTCTCTGCTATAAGGGCCTTCCCTTCTAATTCTATCTGGGTTTAAGAGAAATGAAGAAAACAGTTTTCTAGGGGAAACCTTCCTTTCTGAATTCCCATCTTCTGCCCCTGGCTGGATGCCCCCACCCCCTTAATTTCAGTCAAATACATAGTCCTAACATCATAGAGTGAGTCAAATCTTGCATGCTTGTGGGTCCAGTGGGTGCAATGGAACAGGAAGAGCAGAAAGGGAGGGAACAGGCACCCCAGGGTTCTGAGCTGGGACCCTCTCAGCCTGAAGCTCATGCATGCCCAGCACCCTCTGCCTTCCGCAGGGCGACCCCAGCAGTGACCAAGCCCCAGCACGTACACTGTATGTAAACCAGGCTGAGGCAAGAAGCAAATGGGCACCTGGAGAGTGAGTAGAGTTCAACAGAGCAAGGGGCGGGGCCCTGCAGGTCTCCACTCCAGCAGGACCGGAGCACTGAACAGTGAGGGGAGTGGCAGCTTCAGGGGAGGCTGGAGACCTGGGGCCACCTCCACTGCCCACCTGTTTCCCACCTGCCTGTTTCCCATTGTTAGAGGCAGGTGGGGAGGGGAAAGCTGGGCTGGCTACTGCATCCCTGGATGGCAGAGAGTCCTAGCATAGGGCTACGAGGCAGGAGGAAAGAACACAGGAAACTCAAAGCACAAATGGCAGCTCAGGCACGGAGTAGTCTTAGTGGGAGATCCGGATCCACGTCTTCATTTACAGATGAAGACCCCGGCCTGGGAGGGGAAGGGGCTTGCCCAGGACTCAACCAACAGCCTCCAGGCAGGACTCTGCCTCCAAGCAGCGCATGTCTCCTAAGCACCTTTCCGCCCTCTGACAGGTGGGCACTCTTTGTGTCCCTATGTTTTTTTCTCCCCATCTGGATTCCAGGCTCCAGGAGGCAGAAGCTACCTGCTTGCACTCTGCCCCTTGGGAGCTTGCAGGCTGAGCTTTGCATTAGTTGAGTTTCTATCAATGGGATTGGGCACTGGACCAGTTAGAATCTGGCAAGGGTTGTGCCTTGGGTACCGCCCACCCTTGAGGCTCTTTCCCAGAGCAGAACAATGACATTTCTACCCTCATTTATGTGTCAATGACACATTTTAAAATATAATTACAGAAGATTATAGGAGAGCAGAATGGTAGAACCTTGGGAGGGGCCAGGCTCTTTGGGGGTGGGTTTCCCCTGTGAAGATGGCCCCAGCCCCACCTGGCCACCTCCAGAGACTGAGGCCCCTGGCTGGACTCTTGGGAGTGTTCCTCGCCCATGTGGAGGGCAGAAGCCCCAGGTGCATCCAGACAGAGGGCCTTCCTGGCCCAGTCCAGCAGCGCCCCTGCAAAAAGGGAGCTATAGTCCCTGTGGGCCCTGGACTGGTTTCAAGGGAGAGCTCCTTCCTTCTGTTTGCTGGACAAGTTTAAATCAGAGTGAAAAGCAGCACACTGACTCAGACCAAGGGCTGATGTGCTTCGCTGATAGGCTGATGTCTTGAAGGACAAACTGTAATTTGGAAAAACCCAACAGGAGAAGGTGATGCCTATGGGCAGGGCGAGGCCTTGGTGCCCACGCTGCCCCCACTCTCCTCTACAGTGGGCACTCTCCTCTACAGTGGGCACTCTCCTCTACAGTGGTTTCCCTAATAACACTGTTGTTGAACCAGGACAGAAATGGCCCTGAGGCTCAAAACTAAACATCCACCTCTTCTGAACCCCAAGCTGGGTACTTACCTTTAAAGAAGATGTAATTCACCAGGACCATCATGGTCTGCTGGTCAAGGTTCTTGATCAGATCCCTGATTTTCCCTCGTGTTCCCTTCTGCACGTAGTCATTGATGAGCTTCTTAGCGGCCTCTGAGTCCTGAAAGTCAGTGGCAAAGGCCTCGGCGCCATACAGGCTCTTGGCATCCTCCGTGAACCTGTCCAGCAGTTGGAGCTGCTCTTTGACGAACATGGCGTTTCCCATCCTGAGCTGCAGCTCATCACTGGACTGGTTGAGGGTGCTCAGGAGGTGCTGGAAGCTCTGGTGAATTTCTGCCTCGGAAGTCTCTGTGAGGTTGAACTTGAGGCCTTTGAGAAGCTCCATCAGGGTGGAATTGCGGGCCCCCAGGGACAGGAAGGCCAAGGCAGTGGAGATGCTCAGCGGGGAGAAGATGACATTCTTACCAGGGGCCTTCCAGGTCAACTGCTTGTACAGGCTGAAGGCGAAGTCCATGTTGTTGGAGGCTAATCGGAAGTCCACATGTGTCCCCTGGTCTTGGTCCTCCTGGCTCGGATTCTTCTTGTCAAGTGTGCTCTTAGGGTGGCAGAGGACAGCAGGGCAGAATCCAGCCACCAAGAGCCCCAGAGCCAGGAGAGGTAACATTCTCCGCATTGTCAACTCTGCGAAGCAAAGATTCTTTAGGTCTCAGAACACCAGATGGAGACTTGACCACCTCCCCCTGCCCCCACTCGGCCTGTGTCCTGGTCCCTCTTCTGCCGCCTCTTGCTGGCTTTGCAGCCTGCCTGAGGTAGGGGCTCTCCTGGGCCCCGACACGTCACTCTGTTTCCTGTCACCCATTGAGGTAAGTGCCATAATTGTTTCCATCTTTTCCAGTGGAAAACCTGGGCACAAAGCGGTGGAGCAGCGGCCAAGGTCACAGAGCAAACAGGTGGAGGAGCCCAGAGGGCCGCCAGGTTTGCCTGGCTCCTCGGTCAGGAAGCTGATGGGGGTCCAATCAGAATGCCCACTCCTCTCCTCCCTCTTGGTGAGCAGATCCCATCCTAGGGCATTAGAAAGCAGGGGCTCCCTTCCCCTATTCCCCGACTGGCACCAAAGAAGAACTCAGGGATGAAGGAGCCCTGGCCAGAGTCAGAGGCCACAGTGACGCTCCCAGCCTCTCGGTGACACGTGGTGTGGCCCCCGTGGGCCTCCAGGCTTGATGCTGGGTTGCAGTGAGGTTTGATGGAGAGAAGGAAATGAGGGCTCCTGGTCGTGTCTGGAGCCTAGATGGCCCTGATAATGGTCGGCATCAAGGCCAAAGTAGGGCGAATGTTCTTTTCCGCCCCTGCCAGGTCACCACGTGGTCTCTGTTTTCACTGTAAGCCTGGAAGGGCCTCCTAATGGGGAGAAGGCAGCGTGGGCTTTGGGGTCTCCCAGACTGAGACTGGGATTTTGTTTTGGCCACCTTTGATTGCTGTGTAATGACAAGCAGGTGACTGAACCTCTCTGAACCTGTTTCCATCTCTGCACAACATGCTAAGTGGCTCAGGTGAGATGAATGATGAATGAAGGCACCTGGCTCAGAATAGACGTTACCGAGGGCCACCACCTCCCATGCTGCCCCGTGCCTGAAACTGCAAGCCAGAGAAGAGGCGTGAGCAACTGCCCAAGAGACCCTGGAAGCACTGAGTTCCAGGCCGGTGACTGCAGCAAACAAGGTTATTTACTTTCAGCCTTTGCCCACTCAGTCCCAGAATTCAGAAGAGAAAAGGGGCAGCTTGGGTGCCGTGGGGAAGAGAGGGGAAAAGGGGGAGTGGAAGCAGGGGGAGGGGAGAGGGGTAGAGACAGGAGCAGAGGAAGAGGGGAAGAATGAGGGGCAGGAAGGAGGGTGGGGAGGCCAGTGGAAATGCCTTCAGTCAAGCCCTGGGACAGAGACCGCTTGTTTGCTTCAACTGTTTACTCTCAGGCTGATGCAACCATTTCTCTGGGAAAATGTTAGGCAATATTTGTTTCTGGAATTATTTTGGGTGCAAAGCCTTGCGTTTTCTGCTTGGGCAAGTTGGAGCACTGGCTGTTTCCCAGCAGTTTGTCTCTTCAGTGTGTGGACAGAGGCACAGCCCATCTGTGGACTTGGCCAGGGGGCTTCGTGGGGAAGTGGAGCTCCCGAGGCAGCCCCATGGGGACCCTGAAATCACTGTGGGGCCTGCGGCCGCTGCTCACAGGAACCTGCTGCAGCAATCACATGTGCCACATGTTCTGAGAGCTGCACCCTGCGCCAGGCAAGGGGACAGCACCTCTTCCCCCGAGGGTCAGCTGCACAGCTGAAGATGCACAGCTGACTCGAATCAGAATCTGTAAGTATCAAGGCAGAAATGACCATAGAGGCCCCAGGGCACCTCCGCCCTTTACAGGTGTGAAAACTCAGACCCAGAGAGGACGCCTCTTAAAAAGGCACAGGGAATCAGAACAGTCCCCTGGCCCCAACCCAGTGCCCTGGGCACACCTCCTCCTGGCATCCACTCACCACACACTCCACACGCTCCAGGCTGCCACCTACAAGGCTTAGAAAAATGGATTCCTCCGCTCTCAGGATGAAAAGCATCATGGATTACCTGCCTCAGGGAGTTGGATAGAGCTGGTGATTCCAAAGCTGTCTGTCTGGAGTAGCTGATTCTCATGAATGCTAAGGCTTATTTATTCCAGCAAAGAACTCCTCCCCCTGCTTGGGAAACACTGGCCAGGACGACCAAGTGTTCTGTTCTCAGACTGGAAATGGCCAGATGACCATTTGTAGCCACATGGACTTGTTACATCCACTCAAGTAACCTGGTTATAGGGATAGCTCTAATCTCTTCCTTAGAAGGTAAAACAAACACACAAAATACCCTTTGCCGTGTTAATTTTAAATCTGTTTATTAAATACTCATTGAAGAACTTGGAAAAAGTCAGAAAATATGAAGAAGGACTTTGCAAAATATCCCCCAGCACTTTACTACCTGGAGAAGACCCCAGCTAGCATCTGGTGTATTACTTTTTTATTTATTTTTATTTTGTGATGGAGTCTTGCTCTGATGCCCAGGCTGGAGTGCAGTGGCATAATCTTAGCTCACTGCAACCTCAGCCTCCTTGTTCAAACAATTCTCCTGCCTCAGCCTCCTGAGTAGCTGGGACTAAGTTGAGTGCCACCACATCCAGCTAATTTTTGTATTTTTAGTAGGGACAGGGTTTCACCATATTGGCCAGGCTGGTCTCGAACTCCTGACCTCGTGATCCACCTGTCTCAGCTTCCCAAATTGCTGGGATTACAGGTGTGAGCCACAGTATCCAGCCACATTTTGGTGTATTTCTAAGGCACTTTTCTTTGGTGTCTCTGTGTGTGTGTCAGTGTGATGTTAATGTCCATATACAATCCTAGATATGTTTTAAAAATACAGGACTCTATTTTTCTGCAGATCATTTGCATTTTGGGTGTTCCTTCACCAACCCAGGGAGTAGGGGTTTGTGTCAGGGCCCCCATTCCAGAGTTGCACCTAGAATGGGGGCGGGAAGGGAGCTTTCGGAGAGCACAGGTGTTGTGAAGAACCCCTTGTCCTAGGCTCTGCTTCTCTGTTGGGGCCTCCTCAGCCTTGGCCTGTGTCCCGCTGAGCCTCTGCCACTGGTTCTTGCCAACAACTGGTTGTCCGTCCTCCCTGACCTTCAGGTCTCCTTGGGCCTTTCTCTTAGCTAGTCCGGGGTCTTTCTTTGGCTCTTCAAAAAGATAACAATCTTGGCCGGCAGTGGTGGCTCATGCTGGTAATCCCAGCACCTTGGGAGGCTGAGGCGGGCAGATCACCTGAGATCAGGAGTTTGTGACCAGCTTGACCAACACAGCAAAACCCAGTCTCTACTAAAAATACAAACAACAACAACAAAAAAATTAGCTGGGCATGATAGTGCACTCCTATAATCCCACCTACTTGGGAGGCTGAGGCAGGAGAATCACTTGAACCCAGGAGGCAGAGGTTCCAGTGAGCCAAGATCACGCCACTGTACTATAGCCTGGGTGACAGAGGGACACTCTGTCTCAAAAANTCAGACCCAGAGAGGACGCCTCTTAAAAAGGCACGGGTAATCACAACAGTCCCCTGGCCCCAACCCAGTGCCCTGGGCATACCACCTCCTGGCATCCACTCACCACACACTCCACACGCTCCAGGCTGCCACCTACAATGCTTAGATAAACGGATTCCTCTGCTCCCAGGATGAAAAGCATCATGGATTACCTGCCTCAGGGAGTTGGATAGAGCTGGTGATTCCAAAGCCGTCTGTCTGGAGTAGCTGATTCTCATGAATGCTAAGGCTTATTTATTCCAGCAAAGAACTCCTCCCCCTTCTTGGGAAACACTGACCAGGACAACCAAGTGTTCTGTTCTCAGACTGGAAATGGCCAGATGATCATTTCTGGTAACATGGACTTGTTACATCCACTCAAATAACCTGGTGAGGGGAATAGCTCTAATCTCTTCCTTAAAAGACAAAACAAACACACAAACAACACGTTGGTTGTCGTGTTAAGTTTTAATCTATTTATTAAATACTCATTGAAGAAGTTGGAAAATATCAGAAAATATAAAGAAGGACTTTGCTAAATATCCCCCAGCACTTTCCTACCAGGAGAAGGCCCCAGCTAACATCTGGTGTATTTCTTTTTATTTCTTTTTATTTTTATTTTGAGATGGAGTCTTGCTCTGATGCCCAGGCTGGAGTGCAATGGCATGATCTTAGCTCACTGTAATCTCCGCCTCCTGGGTTCAAACGATTCTCCTGCCTCTGTCTCCTGAGTTGCTGGGACTAAAGTGAGCACCACCAATCCTGCTAATTTTTGTATTTTTAGTAGAGATGGCGTTTCACCATGTTGGCCAGGGTGGTCTCAAACTCCTGACCTTGTGATCTACCTGCCTCCATAGCGCTGGCTAGGATTACAGGCATTAGCCGCCACGCCCAGCCACATTTTGGTATATTTCTAAGGCACTTTTCTTTGGGTCTCTGGTGTGTCTGTGTGATGTGAATGTCCATGTACCATCCTAAATGTATTTGAAAAATGTAGGACTCTATTTTTCTGCAGACAGTTTGCATTTTGGGCACCCGTTCTCACCAACCTCAGAGAGTAGAGCTGTCAGGGCCCCTCCATCCCAGATTTGTGCCTAGAGAGGGGATGGGAAGGGAGCTTTTGGGGAGCACAGGTGTTCTGAGGAACCCCTGGTCCTAGGCTCTGCTTCTCTGTGGGGCCTCCTCAGCCTTGGCCTGTGTCCTGCTGAGCCCCTGCCACTGGTTCTCGCCAACAACTGGTTGTCCCTCCTCCTTGGCCTTCAGGTCTCCTTGGGCCTCTCTCCTAGCTAGTCTGGCATCTTTCTTTAGCTCATCATGTCAAAAAAGCAATCCTGGCTGGCAGTGGTGACTCATGCTGGTAATCCCAGCATCTTTGGAGGCTGAGACTGTCAGATCACCTGAGGTCAGGAGTTTATGATCATCTTGGCCAACATGGGAAAACGCCATCTCTACTAAAATCACACACAAAAAAGAAAATTAGCATCATTGCACACTCCTGTAATCCCAGCTCCTCGGGAGGCTGAGGCAGGAGAATTGCTTGAACTCAGAACGCCGGGGTTGCAGTGAGCCAAGATCAAGCCGCTGCACTCCAGCCTGGGTGACAGAGGGACACTCTTTCTCAAAAAAAAAAAAAAAAAATAATAATAATCCTTCCTCTTGATTCCTCGTGGTCACAGTCCCCATTCATGACAGACCCTGACAGGCTAGAGGGCGTGCTTTGGAGGCCACCAGACCCATGGAGAGGTTCTAGCTCTGACATGAGCCAACCGGGCTTGAATCACGGATGTCTGACTCACCGACTGACTCACTTCAAACACATCATGGGAAATCTCTACAGCTTCATCTCCTAGTGTCTAACATGCAAGGTAATATTTCCTTGACAGAGTGGTAATCAAGATGAAATGAAATCATATGAATGTTTTTAGTTTGTCTGTTGTGATAGTGCTGTATCTTTAGAGGACTGACATATCTGTTGACTGTGTGGCACTAAGGTGACTAGTAACTGTTTAGTCCCATCTTCCTTAAATGCCTTTTGGGCTCCAAGTTTCAGAATTGAGTGTGTGTGTGTGTGTGTGTGTGTGTGTGTGTATCTTTATTTATTTATTTTTTAATTTTGAGATGACGCCTCTCCCTGTTGCCCAGGCTGGAGTGCAATGGCACAATCTCAGCTCACTGCAACCTCTGCCTCCAGGGTTAAAGCAATTTTCCTGCTTCTGCTTCCCAAGTAGCTGGGATTATAGGTGCCCACCACCATGCCCAGCTAATTTTTGTATTTATAGTAGAGAGGGGGTTTCACCATGTTGGCCAGACTGGTCTCAAACTCCTAACCTTGTGATCCACCTGCCTCGGCCTTCCAAAGTACTGGGATTACAGGCATGAGCCACCGCGCCCAGCGTGTACATACATATATATATATATATATATATATATATATATATATCTTTATCTCTCTATGTATACGTGTGTGTGTGTGTGTGTATATATATATAGAAAGAAAGAGAGAGAGAGAGAAGGGAGGTCCCACTTTGTCACCCAGGCTGGAGTGTAGTGGCACAATCATTGCTCATTGCTCACTGAAGACTCCGAATCCTGGACTCCAGGTATCTTGCCGCCTCAGCCTTCTGATAGCCAGGACCACAGGCACACAACACTTCGACTGGTTAATTTTTAAATTTTTATTCTTTGTAGAGACAGGGTTTCACTGTGTTGCCCAGGCTGGTCTTGAAATCCTGGCCTCAAGGGATCCTCCCGCCTCAGCCTCCCAAAGTGCTGGGATTATGGGTGTGAGCCCCTGTACCTGGCCAGTACCTATGTTTAAGTTACACAGAATCCTACAGAATCATGGCTGAAATGAGACTGAAGTTCAGTGCCCTCTCGCGCAGGTCCAGGTGGAGGCAGTGGGTTGACATGGCGGCTCCATGTTGTCAGAATCCACGTCCTCCTGCCTGGTTGCTCGGCCGCCCCTCCATGATGCCTGCTTGTCTGGGCTAAGAAGGCTCACTGCTATGTCCACCTTCCAGCCCATAGAAAGGGCCTCAGGGGAAGGGAAGGGCACACCCTCTTTGGAAAGGAATGCCTTAAACATCACCTGTCATTTCCGCTTGTGTTCTGTTGGCCGCAGGTTTGCTCCATGGCCACGCCTAGCTACAGAGGCTGTGGGGTGCAGTCAAGATGCTAGGGAGCCACCTCCCAGCTAAGAATTCGGAGTTCCATTGCCATGAGAGACAGAGAGAGTGGACATCGGGGATGACTGGTCATCCTGCCTCAAGACATTACCTGCGAGTTCTCAGGTTCTCCAGCCTCAGAAGAGCACCAATTTCTTTACAGCTGAACTGACTAAGTCTTAACCTCCGTCCAATCTCATGTCTTTGCATAGCTCCCATCTTTGATAATGTTGAAAAAAATCTGTTTTTTGTTTTGTTTTGTTTTGTTTTGTTTTGTTTTGTTTTGTTTTGTTTTGTTTTTTTTGAGACACAGTCTCACTCTGTAGCCCAAACTGGAGTGCAGCGGTGCAATCTCACCTTACTTGCAGCTTCGACATCCTGGGCTAAAGTGATCCTCCCACCTCAGCCTCCCGAGTAGTCAGGATTACAGGTGCACACCATCATGCCCAGCTAATTTTTGTA